GGCCCCTATGACGTTCTTCGACGGCACCTTGGTGAAGTTTTTGCGTCACAACTTTCTCTCACCAGTTTTTGGTAAAAGCCCACTTGTAAGGGTTTTTGTAAGCCTAATTGTAATTATGACATCAATTGCTGGTGTTGGCGTTCTTCGGTGCCAATTTTGTGGCGTCAAATCACAGTGCAAAAATTTTGTCACCGCGGGGAATCGAACCAAGGACCACTTTCCCACCCTTTTTTGGCATTCAGAGGGCCATTTAGCGGAAATGGACCACAGTTCTGTATTCCAGGCACATCCCTCTATATCATAGGAAAAACCGTTTTGAGAAAGCGCTCCACGCCCTGAACGACCTCCCCTCGTAAGTGTTTGGTATGGTGCCATCCAACACGCTGCGCTGAACTCGTTCATACGTCCGCTTTCCGAGCTGTTGCCTCCGTTTTGCGTTTCTTGACGAATCTCCCTATTTTTCCGCTACTGGTATACCATTGAGCACCACCACGTCTCCTCTGAACCCTTCTTGAACCCATCGTAATCGCTGCCTTCAAAAGACTGCATTCGGAAGCACTGCGAAGAAACTCGAAGCATTCATTTCTGCCTGCTGTCTATCTTTGAAATACTTGACAGAGCTCCACTACATTATAAAATATATGAGGACTAGTAGATAGGAACTTAAAATCAAAAGAAGGCTAAATTTATGCAAAACCCTTCATCAGGGGGAATTCGAACCTACCCCTCTCGTTTTCCGGACATATGGGAATAGATAGGAATATTTTGCAAGGAACCTTTATATTCCTCGTGAGTAACTCGAAAAATGCTTCTGCTAATATACATACATCTTCACCCTTCTCAAGGGATTAAAGCGCCCTTGTACTTGCAAAAGGAATTTCGAAGCGCCGGCAGGTGCCCAAATTGAAGTCGACAGCTGTCGGAGAAAAAATGCCTAAAAACCGCCCTGAAAAAGTGCAGCAACTGAATTATGCCGGAAAAAACGTTGCGGGTAGGATACAACCGATCCTCTTCTTACTTCTGACAACAGCTCTCACACTTAATCATTATGATTTAGTACTCTTTAGAAGATATGCTTAGCTCAATCTCACCGCCATCAACCAACTTCAGATAAGTCCCGCACCCTGTCGACGCCATCCTGAACCCCACTCTTACGCGCAAAGGCTTGAATCATCTGTCGTATATATGCGAGCGAGCTCCATCATAATTCGAATTCTAGTTCGGACGCTGAGAAGACACCATGACTCCCCGCACAATCACGCAGCACCCTTTACAACCCCTACCCTCCGCAGGCTCTCCAGCTTTTCCTAAGCCACAGTGTCCTGCCCACCAACCGGCGCTCGACCTTATATATGAGACAACTCTCCTCTTTGCAGGCTAGAAACACCCCTACGCCCCGTGCCGTACAACTATTCCGCCAATCATCATACCGACCTCACTGAATCAGTAATCAGCAAACGTTGAGTACTGCCGGGGATTTCCTCCGTGCCAGCAATTGTCGACGCTACTCGATCACTTTTTACCATCCTCATCCGCACACCACACACCAATTTGTACAATTCCAATATATAACTATATTTTTCCTCATAGTCTCCATCCAAATGTACCATATCGCCCGCAGCCAAGAATAAGTCTCTTTAAATAACGAGAAGCGACAATATTGTCCGGTCCCGAAAATATATATCTCCCAAAAGATCGGGACAAAAGCGAAAAAGAGCGGGAAAATTATGCCACCATAAAGCACCTATCTGCGATCGGAATGCGGAAAAAGCAATACTGATAATAGAAGACGTAGATAAGTCATCCGACTAGCGTGGCACAAGAAGCACCGAAGCCAAGAAAAGACAGTGTCTGCATAAAAGTTACATTCAAAAAGACTTTTCTTCATTCTGCCTTTAGCCGCGTTATAGCTTCGTGGCTCGGGAGATTCAAGCATAGTAGGCGATAGCAATAGGATGTTATAGAGTAGGAATGCCGCACCAGATTGATCCGTAAATCGATTGAAATCGCGGAAGTAGTAATGGGCGACTTCAAGCGAATAATCAATACATATCTAATCTTGTCAGCGCAATCTCCTACTCTACTACTACCCTAATCTACTACTATCCTAATCCCCGTCAATACATATGTTTTTCATTGTCGCGTACTATCCTAATCTCCGGAGTCGCGAACTATGAACGCGGCCTATTGACACCCGATTGACTTCCTTGACCCGTCAGGAATGACTTCGGTCTAAGGAAAGTTCCTTAACACTTGTAGCTCAATTTTTGAATTTTTTTTATTCTTTATTTATTCAATGATCCATAACATATTGACCATTAGATACAACAACACTACGCCAACCTTCGGGCATTTGGGTGACACCGCAGAAATTAGAAATTAGGAAGATTTTTGCCAAACAACCTTCTGGTGTCGGATTTGCGCTCGTTTACGTCGTCGAGCTTCCTGTTCTCCAGGTAATGAGCAAGCGAGCAGGAAAGGTTGAAGAGGTGTATAGATAGGTTTGACGAATATGGCAGACGGGCAGCCGCGGTCCTGCCTGGCTTCAGAGTCTTGTGGCTTGAGACCGAACACCCGCGACGTTGCGCGTTGTCGTGAAGCAGGTTGACTTGTCGCTATATTCGGCGAAGCTCTTCTGCAATCTTTTCGAGCAGCTAGCATTGTGAAGCCCTTGTACTCGTCAATCCTCCAGACAGATCATCACCCGTGGGAAATACCGTCAAACGTCAAAATGGGGCAGTAGTCGTGTGTTGCGTCAGAAAGATCAAAGTCTTCGCTGCGGAGCGTTTAAACCAAGCCGAAACCGCCATGTGAGAGAACGTGCCCAGGCCTATCCCGGGACTGATCCTGACCACCTCTGGTGGGCAGATCTCTCTAGGCGGAGCTCTT